CTGGAGCGCGTTGGCGTAGTGGGGGGCCTCGAGGTGTAGCGCGCGGTGCAGGGGCACCGCATTTAACCAATCCCCCGCCCCATAACCCGACAGGGACAGCATCCGCTGTGTGTGGCCGTTGTTTGGGTTCAGGCTCATCCCCCTCGTCTCCTCCACCTGTACTGCGTACCGCTGTCCCTGGATAGCAGTGGCCAGCCCTTGCTGCAGCTTTCCTGCGGATGGGGCTGCTCTCTCTGTCTGCAAGGCCTCCTGCGCCGGCAGGGGAAGGTCCTCCTCACACTCCGCGAGCCACTCGGACAAGGGGGAGGACTGGGAGTAGGGACCGCGCATCAGCTCGCGTGTAGCTTCCAGAGGGGCTGAGCAATCGCCGTGCAGGGTGTCAAGTAGCAGCTGAGCCTGCGTGTAGCTGGCAAGGAAGCTGTAGCTTCCCTCCACGGAGGGGTCTGTCAGCCCAAGGCCGCCGAGCGATACGGGGAGAGAGGCCTGCGCCCATGTGCGTGAAATTTCCTCCTCCCCCCGTGGGTGATTGATGTTGCAGGCCGTGAGTAACGTGTCCAGCAGACGCCTACCCCATTCGGACCACTCCTCCTTGGGGAGAGAAGGGAGGGGAGTCGTGCGGGCCAGGTAGGACACTCGGCGTGAGACGCACCGAGACAGCAGCAGCCCCGCCAGCTGCGGCTCCATCCGCTCGATCAAACCTAGCGGCGCACCCATCATCTCCAGGCTGGAACGTACGAACGCGGTGGTAGCCCCAGGGGTGCCGATGTAACTGCCCAGGACTTTCAGTCCCTCGCCGCTGAGCGGGACTCCCTCAGGTAGGTGATATTCTGTGGGTGGCCTAGTGGACCAAGCCCCGCACTTGGCGGGATTGTGCTTGAGCCCAATTTCAGCGAGGAGGCCCGTGAAGTGATCAAATGCAGCCGCGCATGATGACGGTTCCCCTAAGAAGGTTACGTCATCTGCGTAAGCCAGGCAGATGACCTCCGGGTGTGCCTCCGCTGTTGCCTTCAGGGCTGGATGCATGGCCGCGGCAAAGAGGAGGGGGCCAAGGGGGTCCCCCTGGCGGACCCCAGTTTCGCTGAGTAACGGCGGGTGGTTAAAACCTGCTTCCAGGTGCAGCTCGGATGGCCGGCCGTAAGAGAAGTTGACTAGAGGCAGCAACGGTTCTAGCTGCGAGCCTTTCAGAGCTGTCGCTATGGCGTAGCGGTCCACGCTATTGAAAGCGTTAGCTATATCGGCTTGCAAGACTAGAGCGTCCTGGTGGGCCGAGGTGAATGTTCGAGCCACGTGGATAACCGCTTCTGCTCCTCCCGGTACAGCCACCCCAAATTGTAAAGGTAAGAAAAATTCCCTGGCCGCTTCCGCTAGCTGGGTAAGTGCTGCTTTGGCTGCTAGCCGGAGGATGCATTCGCCAATGGCTATGGGCCTGGTCCCCCCATCAGGCTTGTCGAGGGCTATCAGCCGTGATGCGGTAAGAAGTCCCGCCACCTCCGTGCGCAGTTTCCCGCGAAGGATCGTGTTGACCAGTGTGTGTAAGTGCGAGCTGACTGCGGTGTGCATCAGGGAAGTTTCGCGCAGGTGCTCGAACGTCAAGCCAGAGGGGCCTGCACCGACCCCGTCTCACATTTCATGAGAAGTTTCAAGAATGCTTCTCGCGATACTTCCAGGTAAGAGTCCGGTTCGGGCAGGGGCCACGGCGTGACGGGCCGCTGTGCACTTGGGTGCTTGGCGCGTAGGGACTCCAGGACTTCCAGCGACGGCTTGCTGACTGGTGTGGCTTCAAGTGCCATGACCGCCCTCCTCAGGCTGCCACGTCGTGCCAGTCCTTCAGCCCTGGAGATAACCCCCAGGTCATCCGACTGGTGTCTGGGGGGGGGGGAAGGTCCAGCGAATCCACTGTTTCCTGGTACAGTGATTCCCATTCCCCCCGCAGGAATTTACGCAGTCTGCTCCTGGTCGCCTTCCAGTCAGGGTGCTTCGGTGACTGCTGACGCAGTGTCAGGCGAGCGGCAAACAGCAAAACCGTCCAGGCTTGGGTGGAATCAGGGTCGTCAGCGAGTCGCAGCAGAGGCGTCAGCAAAACCTGCGCGAAAAGCAGTCGCAGTTTTTCCGGAAGGCGACGTGCCAGAGGAGCATTGCGACTATCGCGAAGCTTGTCCAGGTTCCAGGCACTCACGCTCGCGAAAAGCGTGTTATCCTTGGCGAGGGTTTCGGGCGATTTCTGGGGGGGATGTGACTGCTGTAGGTTACCACTCGCTGCTGTTCGTGGTGCAATCGCGGGAGTTTGTGTCAGGTTTCGTTGGGCGGGGTGGTTGGCTGTGGTGTCAGGGATGTTGGGGGCGGTACGAGTCTGTGGGGATGGTCGCGGCTGGGTGGGGTTGCTGTTGAAATTTGGTGCCGCGCTTCGGGCGTGGGTTGAGTTCCCTCTGGACCGGGCAGGGGGTTGTGACTGGGCCTCCTCCGAGGCATTCGAGCTTGATTCCGCTACCTCCTCCGCCTCATAAATACTCCCCGAAAGAGCAGCTTCCTCATTAGCTCTTTCTAGCATGTTTAAAGCCCTTCTCGCTGCCTCCTGGAACGCGTTCTCCGGACCACCCTCACGCATACTCCGACCACGGCCGCGACCTCCGGCACGGCCACCACGCATCCGCGCACTGGCCGCGGCCAGCATTGGGCTTCCTCGACTAACTCCCCGCACGTTCTCACGCGCCCGTGCGTCCTCGATCGCCTGCTGCCGACGCGTTCGGCGTAATGGCGATTGACATGGAGAAGTCAGCGGTGGACCAAGGTCACACCGCCGAGAGCGTGATTGCACCGCCTCCAGCCCCAGCCCCTGCTGCTGCTGTTGCAAATCCCGCTGCTCCCGTTGCTCCCCGGGCTCCTCCTGCTGCTGCCGCGCCCGCCACAGCTCCGGTCCCGCGGGCTCTGGTTCCCTCGCCGAGCCATCAGCTTGTTGTTCCCGCGTCCGCCGCGCCGGATCCCGTTGCGCAGCCAACGCTTGTGGCGCCCCCGTCTGTCCAAGCTGTCGCTGGAGGCCCCGCGCTGGGGACGGCGGTGGGCGCAGACCCCGGCTCCGCCCACCTGGTTGCCCCTGCGGCTGCGCCGGCACATCCCGTCGCGCAGCAACTCGCGGAGTCACAGTTACGCGGGGCCGCGGGGGGCAATGCGGCTGCGCATCGGGGGCGCGGTTCTCCTCGCCGTCGCCCCTCGTCGTCGTATCGGTCGGCGCACCGCGGGGGCCGCGGTGGCTGGTGGGGAGGTCACGGTCGCGGGCGTGGTGGGCCGAGCGAGATGCAGCAGTTGCGTGAAGATTTCCCGGGGATGCTAGCTGCGGCGATGCGCAATGCCTTGAATGGCGCACCGAATCTTGGGAACTCCCAGGTTCCCGCCGCTCATCCGCCCGCACCGGCGCATGTGAGTGCGCAGGCTCCGGCCGCGCCCATTGCTGCTCCTGCTCCGCTCGCGTCGGCGTTCCCGCAGGTTCCGACTCCTGGCGATTATCATGCCCCCCCTGTCCCCGTGCGTCCTGTTTCTGCCGCGCCCTATCCCCCTCTGCCCTGGATTCCCCCGCTCCCGGACACGGGATTTGTGGGGGCGGGAGGCAGAGGGGCGAGAGGGGCGTTCGTCCCTCCGCGGCGCTTTGCTGATTTTCCGTCCGTGCCGCCTCCTCCCGCGCTTCCGGTTCCGCCTGCGGCGCTGGCGACCGGAGTGGCTGAAGTTCCCACGGCGACCCTTGCTCAGCTGTGGCGCCTGACGGAGTGTCAGCGGGCCCTGTCACTGATTCTGGTGAATTCGCATTTCGCCATTCTCCAGAGCCCAGGGAGCACTCTCGGTCGTGGGGCGCGAGCTGATTGTCAGGCTGCAGCTGCGCAGCTTGCCTTCCTCCTCCTACCCGTGCTGGCAGCGCCCGCGATGGGAGGCGTTGCGGTTTCTGAACTGGACGTAACGGTCCAGGGTCTGACCGCACACCTCCAGGCTGGTGGCGGGATTGAAGCCTTAGGCGCGACCGCGTTAGTGGTCCAGCAACTGTGGCGGACCATGCGTGGTATCCTTGCGGCGCTGGATGCCCATCAGATGTAGTGTCTGGCACCCGCCGCACGTAGACCCTTTGCATTTCTTAATCTAGTAGCGCGGCGCGTGACTCATGGCCGTCTTGTGGTGTTTGTTTAATGGTTGTGATGCAGTTAATCCTTGCCACCCCTAGGCACGCGGCCGAAGGCCGCGCCACGCGAGCGCTGGCGGCCGAAGGCCGCCGGCGCGAGCGCCTACGAAAAACTAAAAACAGAATGAACTAATGGGGGAAGGAGACCCCCACGGGACACTTATATAGCATGGAGGCAAGGGATAGAGGCAAGGGACAGAGGCTAAGTCCTCTCTCTCTCTCGCTCTCTCCACCTACGAAAAACTAAAAACAGAATGAACTAATGGGGGAAGGAGACCCCCACGGGACACTTATATAGCATGGAGGCAAGGGATAGAGGCAAGGGACAGAGGCTAAGTCCTCTTTGTCTCTCTCTCTCTCTCTCTCTCTCTCTCTCTTTCTCTCTCTTTCTCTCTCTTTCTCTCTCTCTGCCATCTCAACGCCCAACTCACCTGTACTTCTTGACAACTGGCGTCTTTCCCCCGTGCACCCACATCTTGATCAGGTACTCGTAAAAGCTGGGAGGGAGGGAGGAGGAGGGGGAAGAAGGGCAGGTTAGAGGGGACGAAGGGGAGATGAGCCACTCTTAAGTCTTGCCTCCATGCAATGCACCCACATCTTGATCAGATACTCGTAAAAGATGGGAGGAGGGTAGGGAAGATGGTGAGGAAGAGGGGACAAGCAGGGGGACAAGGGACTCAGCCTTGCCTCCATGCTCCCACATCTTGATCTGGTACTCGTAAAAGCTGATGGGAGTCACTTTCGAGATTCTCAAAAGTGAGTCTCATCAGAGAATTCTCAAAAGTCACATTTCGATCAGGTACTAGAAGAAACTGATGAAGAAAGAAGGGGGAAGATGGTGGGAAAGAGCGGATGAGGAGGAGGAGATAAGGGCGAGCGAGAGGGGAAAGAAAGATGAGGGAACGAGGGGAAGATAAGGTACTCTGGTAGACGGTGAGAGGAGGGTGGGAGAAAGGTGGGGGGCGGATACAAATACCATGCTTGCAGCAAAGCACACACACCGCAATCAGCTCACCTGTCCCCCATGGACCCGAACGTGATGTGGCTGCTGGTGGGCTCCCCGCCGTCAATACTGATGAGCATGGGAAGTAACAGGAGCTCCAGGGCATGCTACGTGTCTGTCAGGTACAAGAGGTGACTCACCTGTCGCCCATGGACCCAAAGGCGATGTGGCTGCTGGTGGGCTCCCCGCCGTCAATACTGATGAACATGGGAAGTAACAGGAGCTCCAGGGCATGCTACGTGTCTGTCAGGTACAAGAGGTGACTCACCTGTCGCCCATGTACCCAAAGGCGATGTGGCTGCTGGTGGGCTCCCCGCCGTCAATACTGATGAACATGGGCACGAGATTATGACAGACAGGTGCCCTAGGCCAGGCAAGGGTTGCAAGTACTTGGGGTGGGGTTATGGCGGCAGATGAATGAAGAGACAGCCTGGCCTTCTCACCTGTCGCCCATGGACCCAAAGGTAATGTGGCTGCTGGTGGGCTCCCCGTTGTCGATACTGATGAACATGGGCACCAGGCCATCCTCTGGGAAGATCTTCTCAATCTGCTTGATCACGTTCTCCGCCTGTGCAGGGGAGGGGATGGAGAGAGAGGAGGGGGCGTGGGGAGAGGGGAGACGGGAAGAGGAGCAACATTGGCACCAGGCCGTCCTCTGGGAAGATCTTCTCCATCTGCTTGATCACGTTCTCCGCCTGTGGTGGTGGGGGAAGGGTTAAAAAAAAGGAGAGAAGGGTGGTATGGGAGCGGGAGAGGAGGAGGATCAACATGGGCACAAGACCGTCCTCTGGAAAGATCTTCTCAATCTGCTTGATCACGTTTTCTGCCTGTAGGGGAAGGTGGGGAGGGGAAAGGAGGTTTGCATGGGAGGAGGGGAGGAGGAGAAACATGGGTACGAGAGGCCGTCCTCTGGGAAGATCTTCTCGATCTGCTTGATCACATTCTCCGCCTGTGGCATGACATGGGCTAGGAAGAGAAGGAAGGGAATGACAGCGAGGAAGGTTCAAGAGTGGGGAGAGGAGGAGGAGGAGGAGCAGCATGGGCACGAGACCGTCCCCTGGAAATATCTTTTCGATTTGCTTGATCACGTTCTCCGCTTGTGATGTGCAACGTTGTGAGGTTGTGGGGTTGTGGGGAAGTGGCAGAGGATCACGTAGCCACAGACCTTGATTGCATGCTTGGGGTCGTTTGTCCGTTGATAGAGCAGGGAGTTTTTGAGAATTCTCAAAAACTCCCTGCAAGTGGCAGAGGATCACGTAGCCACAGACCTTGATTGCATGCTTGGGGTCGCCTGTCCGTTGATAGAGCAGGGAGTTTTTGAGAATTCTCAAAAACTCCCTGCAAGTGGCAGAGGATCACGTAGCCACAGACCTTGATTGCATGCTTGGGGTCGTTTGTCCGTTGATAGAGCAGGGAGTTTTTGAGAATTCTCAAAAACTCCCTGCAAGTGGCAGAGGATCACGTAGCCACAGACCTTGATTGCATGCTTGGGGTCGCCTGTCCATTGATAGAGCAGGGAGTTTTTGAGAATTCTCAAAAACTCCCTGCAAGTGGCAGAGGATCACGTAGCCACAGACCTTGATTGCATGCTTGGGGTCGTTTGTCCGTTGATAAAGCAGGGAGTTTTTTTGAATTCTCAAAAACTCCCTGCAAGTGGCAGAGGATCACGTAGCCACAGACCTTGATTGCATGCTTGGGGTCGTTTGTCCGTTGATAGAGCAGGGAGTTTTTGAGAATTCTCAAAAACTCCCTGCAAGTGGCAGAGGATCACGTAGCCACAGACCTTGATTGCATGCTTGGGGTCGTTTGTCCGTTGATAGAGCAGGGAGTTTTTGAGAATTCTCAAAAACTCTCTGCAAGTGGCAGAGGATCACGTAGCCACAGACCTTGATTGCATGCTTGGGGTCGTTTGTCCGTTGATAGAGCAGGGAGTTTTTGAGAATTCTCAAAAACTCCCTGCAAGTGGCAGAGGATCACGTAGCCACAGACCTTGATTGCATGCTTGGGGTCGCCTGTCCGTTGAGAGCGAGAGAGACACACATTCCAGCAGCAGTGTACCAAGTTCACTCTCAGAAGCTTCAAAGCCCATCCAAGGTACTCAGTTATCATAGTGCCAGGTTACCAGGTAACTGACCTTGATAGCATACTTGGGGTCGCCTGTCTGCTGAGACAGAGTCACAAACTCCAACTGGAGTGTACGCAGATCTCTCAGGCGCTTCAAAGGTCGTCCAGGTTAATAGGTTAACAGGTTACCAGGTAACTCACCTTGATTGCATACTTGGGGTCCCCTGTCCGCTGAGATAGAGTCACAAACTCCAACTGGAGCGTGCCCAGATCTGCCAAGACTGCTGATCCCTGTGGCGGGGAGAAGAAGGGTTGGTTGGCAGAGGGTTACAAAGAGATTGGCATGCGAAGGATCAAAGTCCCCATGCAGCACTCGCCCCTAGGCGGCAGCAGCATATGCAGCGCTGAGTGCGCATACACCCACACACAAGGAAACTGGAGCGTGCCAAGATCCGCCAGCACTGCCGATCCCTGTGGGGAGGAGAAGACGGGGAAACAGAGATGAAATTTGAGACAAGATAAGCTAGAAATTCAGCACATGTTTTGAGGCGCCTCAAAACAAGACGGGGAAACCTAATCTTGAGGCGCCTCAAAACAAGGCGGGGAAACATGGATGGATTTTGAGACAAGATAAGCTAGAAATTCAGCACATGCAGATGCGTCAAATAATTCAGCTTACCCCGGCCCAGCTGGGGGCGATGCCTCCTCCTGATGCCAAGTCCACATTGGCAAAGGTACTGCCAGTGGGGGTGCTGAACGCTGGTAGAAGTCAATCCTCGGAAAAGAAAGAAACTTAGAAGCGAAAAGACTTACCCCAGTCCAGCCGGGGGCGTTGCCTCCTCCTGATGCCAAGTCCACATAAGCAAATGGAATGCCAGTGGGGGTGTTGAACGCTGGCAGCAGCCGATCTCCCAGCTCCCTCGCCTTGTCCAAGAAGACCTTTTCTCCCGACAGGTCGTATGCTGCTAGCAGCCCGCCCAGCATCCTGAAGGGGTTGTGGGGAAGTGGAGCGAGAGGAAGGGGGAGAGGTGAACAGGGAGGGGCGGAGACCAAAGGTCCCCCAGCTCCCTCGCCTCGGGGCGTATGCCGCTAGCAGCCCACGGATCATTTTGTGAGGATCTGGGGGACAGGGGAGGAGTAGGGAAAGGAAGGATGGGGGAAATGACAAAGGAGGAAAAAGAGAAGAGCCGGAAAGGGGAGCGAGAAAGGTCGTATGCTGCTGAAAAAGAAAAGAAAAGGGAAACGGTGGTAAGAAATACAGGAAATAGGGGGAGTGAACGAGGCTGGAAAGGGGATGCAGAAAAAGAAGCAGCCAATGATGGATAAGGGAGGGTGCGCATTGCATACCGGATGGTAGTTTCAAAGACGCTGACGCTGGAGTGCCGGTTGAAATTGAGAGACTCAGCCACCCACCTGCAGCAACAGATGCACGCACACACACACACACACACACACACACACACACACACACACACACACACACAGACACACACACAGACACACACACACACACACACACACACACACACACACACACACACACACACACACACACACACACACACACATCAGGAGGGAGAAGTCAGCTCACGCCAGCTAGAGGCTTCAAAAAGCAACGTAGGCAGGCACGATACGATTTACAAGTTGGGGCTTTGGGTTCAAGCTTGGTGGGCATTTTTGAGCTCGTCTGTGATCCCCATGAGGAAGAGCGTGTCACAGCCATGTCACACCATCTCGCCGACCATCTCGCCCCAGCTGTGCCACAGCCATACACCTGGACCCTCACCTCCTGACTGTCCTACTGATAGAGTGGATCTCTTTTGAAAATTCTCAAAAGCGATCGAATTTCCCCGAATCCCCCAAAGTTGTGCCACGGCGTCTTGATGCCCACAGCACTGCTTCAACACCAAAGTTCCCGCCCCCACGTGCCCTACTACCAACGAGCATCCCCTTGGCCGGGCTAACCCCTAAACCCTGTGAACGTGTCCAGCGAGTCGACAATGGCTGCATCCAGCACAGCTACAGCAGCACATGCCCAGCACATCAACCTACCCTGCAGCCTGTGAACCTACTTTTGCGCGTCTTTGAACTCATCCTTCAGTCCCATGAGGAAGAGCGTGTCGAGCGAGTCAACGATCGTTGCCCCCATGCCTCCAAAGTTGTTCGATGGGGTCTTGCTGCGAGGCTGGCGGATGGGAAGGATGAGAGGAAGGTGAGGATGAGAGGGTGAGGTGAGGATGGGGAAAGGTGAGGATGAGAGGGTGAGGTGAGGATGAGAGGGTGAGGTGAGGATGGGGAAAGGTGAGGATGAGAGGGTGAGGTGAGGATGAGAGGGTGAGGTGAGGATGGGGAAAGGTGAGGATGAGAGGAAAGGTGAAAATGGTCGGAAGGGTTCTGCCTAAACCACCTCCCAAACCCACTCCACACCACAAGCACCTCGCCTCCTCAAAGGGAGTTCCGTTCCCATCTGGAGCTCATCTGACCCCCATGCGTACTTCTTGTACCCCTTCCAGCAACCCTTGCTTGACACCGTCTTGAGGTGATGCTTTGGGTCAGCCCAAAACCACCCCAAAAGCCACCTCTCGCCTTCTCACCTGGAGTTCATCCGACCCCCACGCGTACTTCTTGTACCCCATCCACACATGCAGCATCCCCTGCTTCATCGCCTCTCGAGGTGGCTTTTCGGTCGAACCAAACCACACCCTACAAGCACTTCGCCACCCCACCTATAATCCCATTCTCACCTGGAGTTCATCAGACCCCCACGCGTACTTCTTGTACCCCCTTCACGCATGCAGCATCCCCTGCTTGATCGCCTCTCGAGGTGGCTTTTCGATTGAACCAAACCACACCCTGCAAGGATTTCGCTCCCCAGCTATAATCCCATTCTCACCTGGAGTTCATCAGACCCCCATGCGTATTTCTTGTACCCCCTCCACGCATGCAGCATTCCCTGCCTGATCGACTCTCTCCTCCTCTCCGTCTCATCCTGCCCTCTCAACAGTAGCCCCTGCCCCTGCCCCTGCCCCTGCCCCTGGCCCTGCCCCTGTCCCTGCGTCTGTTTCTCTGCCGCTCGTTGCTCAGCCACCGATACCTCTTTCCGTTGCTCACTCTGCAACTGCTCTCCCCCTGCTTCCGTCACCCCGCCTACTCTCACTCCTCCTCCCCCCCCTCCGTTTTTGCCACCCCCCGCTACAGCCACATCATCCTCCAAATCCGCGTCCTCAAGCCCGTCAGCTGCCTTCCCATCGTTACTGTCACCTTCCCCGCCTCCCAGCCCATCGTCCTCCAGCTTCCCCAGTCTCTGCAACTCTGACAACGCCTTCTGCTCCACATCCGCGCTATGAGCATCCCCAGTAACACCATCCCCTCTAACAGCATCCCCAGTAAACGCTTGCCCAGTCTGTTCTCCTCCTCTCAGCATCCCCCCTGCAGAGCCCGCCCTATTGATCTTATCTAACGGAAGGAGCTTTCTCGCTTGCACTTTGCTGCTGGCACGTGCTGCATTTACGCTTATCCCACCTCCGCCGCCGCCACCACCCCCACCCCCTCCTCCTACGCCTAGAATAAGAGGGTCCTTTCTAACAGAAGCGGCTTTGCCTCCTGCCTGGCCGTGAGAAACGCTGCCAGTCAGGCGAGCCTTTTCCAGCTGATATGGGACCGAGAGCGCGGGGGAAGGTACACGGTGGGAACGATAGGAAGAGACAGGTTATGAAGGGAAAGTCAGGAGCTTTGAATTCTGAGGCATTTACTCCTGCCTGGGCGTGAGAAGCGCTGCCAGTCAGGCGTGTCTTCTCCAGCTGATATGGGACCAGAGAAAAAAGGAGGGTCAAAGTGGGAAATGAGAGCAGGAGACGGATAGGAAGGGACAAGAGGAAGTGACTGCTAAATGGACTAAAAAGACAGAGCTTTTGCAAATTATAGTTTTATTCAGATTATATCTGTAAGCTTGCAGAGCAGAAATGGCAGTGAGAAAGTGAGGCTCACAGCAACGTAACAGCAGCGGAACAGAAAAACTCATGTTCTCATACCTCGACAATCAGGTGGCTCTTCTCGCCTTCAAGATTATCCAGTTGCATCGTCAGTGCCTGCGGAAGACACGGAGCAAATGAGAGGGTAGCTGGTGCTGTGCTGCTGACTGCGGAACCACGTAAGAAGTAACCTGTCGTGTGAGGATTGAGCTTCGTTCCGAGACTACTTTCCTTTCTAGGACCACGTGAGGTTTGAACTCGTCAACTAAGCGTGAAGGCATGGAAGCACTGGTTTGGTTGGTCGGAACCACAAATCGTGGACCTCCATCGAATTTCATCAGGGCATGCGAGACTTGAATCACGGGTAAGCCAAAATCGGGAAGAAGCTTGAGCTCTGACTAGGCAAATGAAGGTCTGCAGTGAAACCAAAATATGCTTAAATTTGCAGATTCCTTTTGAAATTTCTCAAGTTGAGTCTGAAAATTAAGAGTGAAATGAGCTTGATTCCTTTCGCGTGTTAAGTTTACGAATGATCTGACGATCCTCGGCTGCGAGCATGATTCCGATGTCACGGACAACTGTCGGACATCATAAAACTGGCAGAAAACGGCCAGCTTACCTCTAATCTTTTCGCGTACCTCGAGTTCTTTCGCCTGTCGTTGGCGATCCATGACGACAAAGACGATCCCGACGACGAGCAGAGTGAGCAGCCCTAGTCGCCGGGGTCGCCGGATGTAGTACGACGGTCGCAGGTACTTGAACCTGCTGGACGACGAACTCGACGACGGTCTGCGACCCATCGTGCGAAATTACGGTAATTTGTCAACAGATGCTCTTTGATGTCAGAAATTCGGCACTGAATGGTTCGTGACGCGGAGTATGTCAATGGACAGTGCAGATCAGCGGCGAAATTCCGCGAACTTGTCACTACTTTTGAGCACCCCACTAGCTTAAGGGATTTCGCAGCTTCGGCGGATGAAATACACGAACATTCAGACTCGGTCGGGGGACAGAGGTGGCTCAGTCCAATGACAGGTGGTATCAGTCGAACGACAGGAGGTACTGAACGCTCGAGGTGTTCAGGAAATTAAGGAGCAAGACTCTCCCCGGTGACGGGGAGAATCACGAAAAAACGTAGCGGAGCGAGCCGAGGAGGTGCCTGGTAACTGAGGGAGTTCACACACCCCAGTAACTTAGTTCTCCAATAGCAGAACTGCCCAAGGTTCTCATCTCACCTCTCATAAACATACCAAGTACCAACTGATGAGATCCATGTTTTGGTCATCGACGGTCGGTGTGGAGAAATCGAGGATGCGGTTGGGTGGTTGGTTGGTTCGTTCCAGCCTCGAGAATGCCGGAACGGGCAGAAGCATTTGGTTGCCCCTGGCGGTTTATGTACCAGAATTCGCTGCTTCTGGCGAAGGATGAAGCCAGAGCCCCATCGTAAAAAGTGTTGTGAATCTGCCCAATGAAATGTTTTATTTCGCTTGTACCCAACCACACACCAGCAACGGGCTTTCTGGTTACAGAGTTTTGGCGGGATTGTCAGAGCTGCGTGATTCTTGCCTTACGAAGAGGTTTGGCGCGAAAGTATCTGAACTCGTCAGGGCAGACAGAGGCACCACCCTCCCACCCAGCCACAGCCAGAGCAGTGGCAGTGATAACAAACCAGCTGCGAAACGCAGAGTTTCCGGTTACCAAATACTCAATCTGTGACGAAACAGGATTTCATCGTGAATTCCATTTTCTGCTTCTTCGGCTGGTCTCCTTCGGCTGCTGTTGCTTCCATATCCATGGCGATCCATGCGTGATTCTGGAGTACATTCTCGGCCTTGTAATAGTTGCTGACGGCAAAGGAGGACACGTTGCCTGCTGCGAGGGAACTGGCGAAGCCTTACCCCTACGAATTTGACGATCCTGCTTTTTACAACGCACAGCATTGACCATTTTCACAGCTTTTCCTTCCAGTTTCGCCGACTCCGTTTACTCTTCAAGTCACTCATTATCGTTTCCCGGATTTCTCTTGATCGCCGATCTCTCATAATGGATTCCTCCGGGAATCTCCGTCATCGGAGGAAATCCGAAGCCCAAGGAACCTCCTCAGGCACCGTGCCTGTACCCTCCTCATCAGAATCCTTGCAGCAGCCAGTGAAGCAGCAGAAGAGCCTATTGATTTCCTGGCGAGCCGCATTCGTTTTCCTCCTAATCTCACGGTCAGTAATCTCATTTCGAAACCTGGCATTTCTCGGTTGCTTGGTTACATGTGCACATTTCCCTGGATCCGCATTTTGTAACGCTTTGCTGTTTCAAAATCAGGTCAATAAGTGCAGCGGTGAACATCATCCATGACTGCGACGAAACGTTCAACTACTGGGAGCTTCTTGTTTCTAATCCCTTGTTTTTTTCTTCTCTCCTGCTGTTTCATTCAACAACAGGTCAATAAGTGCAGCGGTGAACATCATCCACGACTGCGACGAGACGTTCAACTACTGGGAGCCTCTGCACTACCTCCTGCACGAATCCGGGTTCCAGACGTGGGAATACAGGTGCAGTACTCCTATTATTTAGGCGCCTCAAAAATAGAATCCGGGTTCCAGACGTGGGAATACAGGTGCGGTACTCCTTCACGCTCTTTGCCCTTGTTGCAACATACACCCTCAAAAACCACATGCTTTCTGACCTCTGCTCCATTGTCCCTCAGTTGACTTTTGAGTCGACTCAAAAGTAAAAAACCACATGCTTTCTGACCTCTGCTCCATTGTCGCTCCCCTTCTCCTTATTATCCTATCGAGGTGACTTTTGAGTCGACTAAAAAACCACATGCTTTTTTCTGACCTCTGCTCCATTGTCTCTCCCCTTCTCCTTATTATCCTATCCCAACAGTTCTGCCTTCGCCCTTCGCTCCTACCTCTACCTCTTCCTTCACGCCCTTGCTGCCCTGTCAGTCACGCTACACTTCAGCAGTCACTGCAGGCGCCTTTGAACCTTTCCATTTCTGTCTCTCTTTCCCCCCTCCCTCCCTCCTCGCTATCCTGTTGACCCCAACAGCTCTGCCTTCGCCCTTCGCTCATACCTCTACCTCTTCCTTCACGCCCTCGTTGCCCTGCCAGTCACTCTCTTTTTTGGCAACGGTTCGGGTAAGGTGAGCAAAGAACCCTGATAGCTGCTATTAGGGTGTGGGAGGTAAGGGGCCAGATGGGTGCAAGCTGAGCTAAGAGCGCTGATAAGAGTTGACGTATGCCCTACTTCAAGCAATACGATGCATGATTTATGCTATCTTGTGCTTGGGTTCGCTTTAAAGCACCTGTATGAGCCGTTGCCTTTAATTTGTTTCGTTTCTTATGGCAGGCTGGCCCCCTCATCCCCGTTTTTTACCTTCCCCATCATCCCTATCATCTCGATCTCTACCTTCCCCATCTCAGGTTAACGTCTGCCTGGCCCTGCCTGTTCTCTCTGCCGCCTCAGAGGCATCTCTGCTCGTGGCCATTGCAACAGCCATTCACAAGGCCACTCAGGCCCCTTCCCTACCCTCCCTCCTCCCCGTAACCTCCTTTCCTACCTTCCCCACCTCATTTCACGCCTTCTATGCTGTTCGCCTGGCCTTGGAAGTTCTCTCTGCTGCGTCGGAGGCATCTCTGCCCGTGGCAGTTGCTGCTGCCCTTCACAAGACCACTCAGACTTCCCCTGCCCCCTTCCCGTCACTCCTTTGTACCCTTCCCCATCGCAGGCTAACGCCTTCTACACTGTCCGCCTGGCCCTGGCTGTTCTCTCTGCTGCCTCAGAGGCATCTCTACTCGTAGCCGTTGCAACAGCCCTTCACAAGGCCACCAATGCTGGCAGTGCCAGTAGCAGCAGCAGTGGAACCAAGGAAGATAAGGAGAAAGGGAATGAGGAGGAGAGGGCGAAGCGAGAGAGGGCAGCCCCAGCAGGAATCGGGGACAGAGTGGGTGTGTGCGGGTTGCTGCTCCTCTGCTTCTGCTCTGGCAACTTTCTCGCATCCACAAGTGAGTGTGGTTATAGCTTATATTCGCTCGCTCCCTCCCGTCACACTCACCCCTGGACTCCTGCTGCTCCTCTGCTTCTGCTTTGGAAACTTTCTCGTGTCCACAAGTGAGTGGTGGTTACAACCTATACTCGCCAGCTCCCTCCTGTCAAGCACTTTCCCCCTCCATTAATCCACCCTTTTTCTGCAGCACCTTCAGCGTGTACACAATCACCTGAGCCAGGTTTAGTGATTTGATACAGATTAGTTCATTCTGTTTTTAGTTTTTCGTAGGTGGAGGGAGCGAGAGAGAGAGAGGACTTAGCCTCTGTCCCTTGCCTCTATCCCTTGCCTCCATGCTATATAAGTGTCCCGTGGGGGTCTCCTTCCCCCATTAGTTCATTCTGTTTTTAGTTTTTCGTAGGCGCTCGCGCCGGCGGCCTTCGGCCGCCAGCGCTCGCGTGGCGCGGCCTTCGGCCGCGTGCCTAGGGGTGGCAAGGATTAACTGCATCACAACCATTAAACAAACACCACAAGACGGCCATGAGTCACGCGCCGCGCTACTAGATTAAGAAATGCAAAGGGTCTACGTGCGGCGGGTGCCAGACACTAAATCTGATGGGCATCCAGCGCCGCAAGGATACCACGCATGGTCCTCCACAGTTGCTGGACCACTAACGCGGTCGCGCCTAAGGCTTCAATCCCGCCACCAGCCTGGAGGTGTGCGGTCAGACCCTGGACCGTTACGTCCAGTTCAGAAACCGCAACGCCTCCCATCGCGGGCGCTGCCAGCACGGGTAGGAGGAGGAAGGCAAGCTGCGCAGCTGCAGCCTGACAATCAGCTCGCGCCCCACGACCGAGAGTGCTCCCTGGGCTCTGGAGAATGGCGAAATGCGCATTCACCAGAATCAGTGACAGGGCCCGCTGACACTCCGTCAGGCGCCACAGCTGAGCAAGGGTCGCCGTGGGAACTTCAGCCACTCCGGTCGCCAGCGCCGCAGGCGGAACCGGAAGCGCGGGAGGAGGCGGCACGGACGGAAAATCAGCAAAGCGCCGCGGAGGGACGAACGCCCCTCTCGCCCCTCTGCCTCCCGCCCCCACAAATCCCGTGTCCGGGAGCGGGGGAATCCAGGGCAGAGGGGGATAGGGCGCGGCAGAAACAGGACGCACGGGGACAGGGGGGGCATGATAATCGCCAGGAGTCGGAACCTGCGGGAACGCCGACGCGAGCGGAGCAGGAGCAGCAATGGGCGCGGCCGGAGCCTGCGCACTCACATGCGCCGGTGCGGGCGGATGAGCGGCGGGAACCTGGGAGTTCCCAAGATTCGGTGCGCCATTCAAGGCATTGCGCATCGCCGCAGCTAGCATCCCCGGGAAATCTTCACGAAACTGCTGCATCTCGCTCGGCCCACCACGCCCGCGACCGTGACCTCCCCACCAGCCACCGCGGCCCCCGCGGTGCGCCGACCGATACGACGACGAGGGGCGACGGCGAGGAGAACCGCGCCCCCGATGCGCAGCCGCATTGCCCCCCGCGGCCCCGCGTAACTGTGACTCCGCGAGTTGCTGCGCGACGGGATGTGCCGGCGCAGCCGCAGGGGCAACCAGGTGGGCGGAGCCGGGGTCTGCGCCCACCGCCGTCCCCAGCGCGGGGCCTCCAGCGACAGCTTGGACAGACGGGGGCGCCACAAGCGTTGGCTGCGCAACGGGATCCGGCGCGGCGGACGCGGGAACAACAAGCTGATGGCTCGGCGAGGGAACCAGAGCCCGCGGGACCGGAGCTGTGGCCGGCGCGGCAGCAGCAGGAGGAGCCCGGGGAGCAACGGGAGCAGCGGGATTTGCAACAGCAGCAGCAGGGGCTGGGGCTGGAGGCGGTGCAATCACGCTCTCGGCGGTGTGACCTTGGTCCACCGCTGACTTCTCCATGTCAATCGCCATTACGCCGAACGCGTCGGCAGCAGGCGATCGAGGACGCACGGGCGCGTGAGAACGTGCGGGGAGTTAGTCGAGGAAGCCCAATGCTGGCCGCGGCCAGTGCGCGGATGCGTGGTGGCCGTGCCGGAGGTCGCGGCCGTGGTCGGAGTATGCGTGAGGGTGGTCCGGAGAACGCGTTCCAGGAGGCAGCGAGAAGGGCTTTAAACATGCTAGAAAGAGCTAATGAGGAAGCTGCTCTTTCGGGGAGTATTTATGAGGCGGAGGAGGTAGCGGAATCAAGCTCGAATGCCTCGGAGGAGGCCCAGTCACAACCCCCTGCCCGGTCCAGAGGGAACTCAACCCACGCCCGAAGCGCGGCACCAAATTTCAACAGCAACCCCACCCAGCCGCGACCATCCCCACAGACTCGTACCGCCCCCAACATCCCTGACACCACAGCCAACCACCCCGCCCAACGAAACCTGACACAAACTCCCGCGATTGCACCACGAACAGCAGCGAGTGGTAACCTACAGCAGTCACATCCCCCCCAGAAATCGCCCGAAACCCTCGCCAAGGATAACACGCTTTTCGCGAGCGTGAGTGCCTGGAACCTGGACAAGCTTCGCGATAGTCGCAATGCTCCTCTGGCACGTCGCCTTCCGGAAAAACTGCGACTGCTTTTCGCGCAGGTTTTGCTGACGCCTCTGCTGCGACTCGCTGACGACCCTGATTCCACCCAAGCCTGGACGGTTTTGCTGTTTGCCGCTCGCCTGACACTGCGTCAGCAGTCACCGAAGCACCCTGACTGGAAGGCGACCAGGAGCAGACTGCGTAAATTCCTGCGGGGGGAATGGGAATCACTGTACCAGGAAACAGTGGATTCGCTGGACCTTCCCCCCCCCCCAGACACCAGTCGGATGACCTGGGGGTTATCTCCAGGGCTGAAGGACTGGCACGACGTGGCAGCCTGAGGAGGGCGGTCATGGCACTTGAAGCCACACCAGTCAGCAAGCCGTCGCTGGAAGTCCTGGAGTCCCTACGCGCCAAGCACCCAAGTGCACAGCGGCCCGTCACGCCGTGGCCCCTGCCCGAACCGGACTCTTACCTGGAAGTATCGCGAGAAGCATTCTTGAAACTTCTCATGAAATGTGAGACGGGGTCGGTGCAGGCCCCTCTGGCTTGACGTTCGAGCACCTGCGCGAAACTTCCCTGATGCACACCGCAGTCAGCTCGCACTTACACACACTGGTCAACACGATCCTTCGCGGGAAACTGCGCACGGAGGTGGCGGGACTTCTTACCGCATCACGGCTGATAGCCCTCGACAAGCCTGATGGGGGGACCAGGCCCATAGCCATTGGCGAATGCATCCTCCGGCTAGCAGCCAAAGCAGCACTTACCCAGCTAGCGGAAGCGGCCAGGGAATTTTTCTTACCTTTACAATTTGGGGTGGCTGTACCGGGAGGAGCAGAAGCGGTTATCCACGTGGCTCGAACATTCACCTCGGCCCACCAGGACGCTCTAGTCTTGCAAGCCGATATAGCTAACGCTTTCAATAGCGTGGACCGCTACGCCATAGCGACAGCTCTGAAAGGCTCGCAGCTAGAACCGTTGCTGCCTCTAGTCAACTTCTCTTACGGCCGGCCATCCGAGCTGCACCTGGAAGCAGGTTTTAACCACCCGCCGTTACTCAGCGAAACTGGGGTCCGCCAGGGGGACCCCCTTGGCCCCCTCCTCTTTGCCGCGGCCATGCATCCAGCCCTGAAGGCAACAGCGGAGGCACACCCGGAGGTCATCTGCCTGGCTTACGCAGATGACGTAACCTTCTTAGGGGAACCGTCATCATGCGCGGCTGCATTTGATCACTTCACGGGCCTCCTCGCTGAAATTGGGCTCAAGCACAATCCCGCCAAGTGCGGGGCTTGGTCCACTAGGCCACCCACAGAATATCACCTACCTGAGGGAGTCCCGCTCAGCGGCGAGGGACTGAAAGTCCTGGGCAGTTACATCGGCACCCCTGGGGCTACCACCGCGTTCGTACGTTCCAGCCTGGAGATGATGGGTGCGCCGCTAGGTTTGATCGAGCGGATGGAGCCGCAGCTGGCGGGGCTGCTGCTGTCTCGGTGCGTCTCACGCCGAGTGTCCTACCTGGCCCGCACGACTCCCCTCCCTTCTCTCCCCAAGGAGGAGTGGTCCGAATGGGGTAGGCGTCTGCTGGACACGTTACTCACGGCCTGCAACATCAATCACCCACGGGGGGAGGAGGAAATTTCACGCACATGGGCGCAGGCCTCTCTCCCCGTATCGCTCGGCGGCCTTGGGCTGACAGACCCCTCCGTGGAGGGAAGCTACAGCTTCCTTGCCAGCTACACGCAGGCTCAGCTGCTACTTGACACCCTGCACGGCGATTGCTCAGCCCCTCTGGAAGCTACACGCGAGCTGATGCGCGGTCCCTACTCCCAGTCCTCCCCCTTGTCCGAGTGGCTCGCGGAGTGTGAGGAGGACCTTCCCCTGCCGGCGCAGGAGGCCTTGCAGACAGAGAGAGCAGCCCCATCCGCAGGAAAGCTGCAGCAAGGGCTGGCCACTGCTATCCAGGGACAGCGGTACGCAGTACAGGTGGAGGAGACGAGGGGGATGAGCCTGAACCCAAACAACGGCCACACACAGCGGATGCTGTCCCTGTCGGGTTATGGGGCGGGGGATTGGTTAAATGCGGTGCCCCTGCACCGCGCGCTACACCTCGAGGCCCCCCACTACGCCAACGCGCTCCAGTTTCGGCTGGGGCTCCCCTTCGCAGCTCCCGGGGCGTGCAACTGCGCAAAGAAGGTGGAGATACTTGATAAGAGGCTCCCAAACCACCTGCTGCGGTGCGGGACAGGGGGGGGGGCGCACAAACACACA